ATAGGCGGAGCATGTGTCACAGGCCAGCCCAGAGACCATTAATCAAGATGGCAGACAACATGATGAGACGCTCAGCTGCAGTAAGACATTTGAAGGGTGTTAAGGTTTCAAAGATGGCTGTACATCCATCAGTGATGATCCTGGCCATGGTGGTTCCCAGCCCACAGCAGTTGTTCCTGTGAACATTCAGCTTATGGAGTGCCTGACCCTGGATAATCGATGCATAACCTGTTGTGAAAATACACAAGACAAATCTTTCTATGGGAATGGGGAACACAATGATCACAAAGTGAAGAAGGCTGTCCCAGAATGTCTAGCGTACTGACAAATCCTTTTATGCCGAAGCTTTCAAGACATTAGGTAATTGCTAGAGTAAGTGTATAAATGTAGCAGGGGAGAGTATGCAAAAAATAAATGCAGTTTCCACTTCTTGAAATGTGTTCTTTTTTTATATAAATTCAAAAGTTCAAAACGAATCTCAGAAAGTATTATTTTACTGCAAGAGCAGTTGATGCTTGGAATAAACTTCCAGCAGAGATAGTGAGCCAGTCAACAGTAAATAGCTTCAAATATGCGCGGGACAAGTATAGATCTATTATTAGACAAAAAAGTTATAAAAAAAAAAAAAACAAAAACAGAAAGACAAACACCTCCCCCCCCTCAAAAAAAAAAAAAAAAAAAAAAAAAGCAGACTCGATGGACTGCTCAGTCTGTTCTACTGTCACATATATATAATATATATATATATATATATATATATATATATATAATAGAGGCAATTGCAGTCTCTGTTCTGCTCAGCCGGGGTGATGCTGGAGCAGAAGCCAAAAAAAAAACTTGGTTTCTCCATGATTTCCTTGGTCCCCAGAGGCAGCATTAGAAAAATAAAATAAAAAAAACTGTAGAAAAAAAAAAAAAAACAAGTAGTCCGTCGAGTCTGCCAGTTTTTTTTTATTTTTTTTTTGTGTTTTTTTTTTTTGGGGGGGGGGGGTTGGGGGTTTTTTGTTGTTTTTTTTTGTTAACTTTTTTGTCAGTTTAAAACATGCTTGTGACAAGTGTAGATCTATATGCAATTTACTGTTGATTTACTACCTCTGCTGGACAAAATATTCCAAGCATCAACTACTCTTTCAGTATGATAATACTTTCTGAGGTTAGTTTTGAACTTTCCTCCAGTTAGTTTAAGGTCATGTCCACGTGTTTTTGATTTTGGTTTCGTGTTGAAAATACTGCCCTCCTAAACCATTATTTATCCCCTTGATGTAGTTAAAGGTTTCAGTCATGACTCCCCTTTCCCTTCTTTCCTCCAGACTGTACATGTTAAGTTCCTGAAGTCACTCTTGATACGTTTTATCCCCCAGACCTGTCATCATTGTTACCCGTCTCTGGACTTGTTTTTTCTTACCAATAACTTTTTGTAAGCGAGGTCTCCAGAACTGGACACAGTGTTCTGAATGAGGTCTAACTAAAGATCTGTATAGGGGAATCAGGACCTCCTTCCTCCTGCAGGTGACCCCTATAGTTTTCCCATTGGCTATGCTATATCCAAGTGACCCTGGTGGCAATCTTGGGTCAACAAATCTTTTTTAAATGCCTCCCATATAGAAGAAAAATATATTTGAAATATATTTTAAAAATATTCTTCCCAAATATATTGCCATATATTTGAAATGCGACAATTTTGGTCATATTCAATATATATCTATATCTATATATCTATATCTATCTGTCAAGTTGAAATGCATTTTTTATTACAAAATATATGAAAATTATTTGTAAAAATACATTTCAAACATACTGTATATCTTTAAAAATACAAATCTACATTTTTTGGAATGCATTTACAACATATTTGTAAAAATATATGTTAAAATTACTTTTTTATATGTTAAAAAATCTGAAGACTATATTTTAAAATATATTTTAAAAAATTATATTACATATAAAAACATCATATTTTAACATATATTTTTACATATATTTGTAAATGCATGCCAAAAATGTAGATTTGTATTTTTAAAGACATACAGTATATTTGAATTGTATTTTGAAAATATTTGTCATATATTTTGTAATAATATATTAAAAAAAGTATATAAAAAATAAAAATATATATATATATATATATATAAAATATATAAAATATATTGAAATCTATTGAATATGGCCAAAAATTGTAGCATTTCAAATATATGGCAATATATATTTGGGAAGAATATTTTTAACATATATATTTCAAATATATTTATTTCCATGTGGGCTGCCCCAAGGCTTTGGCATGCTTCTGGGATTGGATAGTGTAGGGAAAGTTCATCCATCTGTCAAGTAGAGTGAAGTGAATAGCGGTAGGGAAAGGTTCAAGTAGGGACAGGCTAGGGACACGCTATCCTGCATCGAAATCCTGCCCATTGGACTCAGATTGGCTAGGCCTCATTTGGCTCTTGGAGACAGACACTGTCGGTGTATCAGAACCTGCTCCAATCTACAAGGTTGCAAAGAACTGTGAGTGTTCCCACCTTCCTGCTGGGATATTTGTATTTTTGGGTCGTTCCTTCAATACATGTTTTGTTATTTCCAACTGGACTGTTTTCTGCCGTAGCACCACGCTGCACCTACCCACACACACACATATATATACAGACAATAATATATATATATACACACACACACATATATATACACAATATACATATACACACACATACATACACATACATATATAGCAAACAAACACAGTCAACAGATACTTCTGACAAAATCGTACATCAGGCAGATACTGGAAACTACAACAGCAAGAAGAAAAACAGTACAGCACACCAGATAGTACAAATAAGATATTTATTGATAATAAAACAAAAATGAATACACTGACAAGCAATGTGTAGTCATATCACAGGAAGCTGTCATCACCAGATGCATAACCCTAGGCAGTCAAAAGTTCCCTAATTATTAGCCAGTTCATGGGGATGAAATAGTAGATTGTGACAGACTATAAACCTATGGAGACGTCATATTCCAAAACTTGGCACTGACATGTTTCAAGGCTCCTGATTTAGAGTATGATTCATTTTATTTGTCTTATCAATAAATGCCTTATCTGTACTATCTGGCATGCTTTGCTGTTTTTCTTTTTTGCTGCGTCTCTGCCTGAAACCGATACTTCTGTTTTTTTTACGGATGCAGGCAAGCTGAATTATATGGTGGATTCTGTCTCTCAGAGAGTTGATTTACTAAAGGCAAATAGGATGTTCACTTTGCAAGGGACTCTTCTGTTAATGAATCGGCTAAAGCTCTGTTGACTTCCATCATCCAATCATGTGCAAGAAAAAATGCTGGGTTTTTTTCCTTGCACATGATTGGGTATTCTTCACCACATTCACTACCCTAATCTACAATTCACTTGCAAAGTGAACAGCCTATTTGCCTTTGGTAAGTCAACCCCAGGGGCTACAATGGTGGCATGCGCTCTGGAATTCTCAGCTTTGCCCAACTGCTGCTGCCATTTCATAGCCAAATGAAGGTATCAACTCCTTTGATTAGATCTTCTGTAATTTAGAACAAGAAAGTAAATGGAGCGGCCACATTCTAGGGCACAATGCGTTTGTTATGGGCCTGTTGGTAGGGGTGAGGGCACAAACTACTGAGAGAAATCACTTCATATGTTTTGTCCAAAATGTTGCTTTATGAAAAAAGGCATACCTCCTGAAGCCCAGTCTATAGGGATAGTATGGCAACTTAATGAATGAACAAGAACCACAGGCAGTGTCAATTCACCAAGAAGATTCAAAAGTGAAATCCAATGTGTTTTTTTTCATTATTTTATAGAGTGATTCTTAAAGTAGGTTAATCACTAAACCGCACCAATTGATGCTTTTAAATATTCAATATTATATCCAATCAGCTGCCACTTTAAATTACTATGTGAAACTTATTCCAAAAAATACCACCCCTAATATTGGGTGATAATTAGCGGCACATTATATATGTGTCACACTAATTCCTTTTGGTGGTCTCTATGTGCAAACTTTTTTACACAAATATTAAGTGACAAATTATATGTGATATAAAATTATATTTGCCAAAAAATAAACAAACAAATTATATATGTGTTAATATTGCCCACAAAACACTGTAAAATATAAGTCCAGTGTAATCAATAATGAATTACAAAAAAAAAAAAAAAAATCATCCAAAAATAATCATCCAAAAAAAATCTTCCACAATCCTTTGTGACTCCCAGTGCAGAAATAAATAAAACCATGTGCTGTGCTTTTCATACACTCCCTCTTAGGTGTGCACTCACCAGAACATAGCCTTTAACGAGCCTTATTGCATAAATTCCAGAAATCAGGGTCATCAGAACACAGCCTTTTTTCCATTTTATACAGACTCCAAATTGTTAAGACCGGGAGGTTCCTCCAATAATCACCCACAATAAGAATGGTAGCCAGGATTGTAATATATAGTCCTCTCCATAGTTACATAGAAAGAGAAAAAAAAATTTGATCCAATCGTGGATTACCAAAGGTAAACAACTTTAATAAGCCAAAATATTGCACTTACAACACTCCAAAAATAGTTAAGCCTTAATTAAAATAGCCTTTCAGTGAAACAGATATTGCAGGTGCTCTCACCACCTCCGGATCTGGCAGATAAAACACCATCTCGTCACTTCCGGTTGCGTATCTGCGTCACTTCTGGTCCGCCACACCATCACACCCTGACACTGGCAACATAGAGTGCCATATACTGAATACTATGGGCAAATACCCTAAAAACAATGGACAAATAACAACTTATCGACAATGCCTGCATATTGATCACATGGACATACTCAGATGGTTATTACAAACCATTTCGATGACCATACAATCCAATCTGGACATCACAACAAATCAATAAACTAATATTAACCGCCTCCCACCCGCCATATAGTACAATTACGGACGCAAGGTGGTTCTCTCGTTTGTCATATGACGCCCTCCCATTCTAACCGTGCATGCGCGGCTCGTGGAGCGCGCAGCGATCAGTGGTGAGCTGTGTCCCTCGGACACAGCGGATCACCGATCCAGGGAAAGAGCCAAAGATGTCGGCTCAGTCATGTGATCAGCTGTGTCCAGTCACAGCTGATCACATGTAAACAGGGAAATGCCGGTTATCGGCATTTCTCTCCCCACGAGCTGTCACGCTGACAGCTCGTGAGGAGAGGAGAGCCGGTAATCGGCATAACTCAGAGGGGACAGGTATTGTGTGCCCTGATGATCAGTGTAGACCGAGCAGCGCCACCTGTCAGTGTCCATCAGTGCCAGCTCTCAGTGCTCATCCATGACACCTGCCAGTTCCCATCAGTGCCACATCAATGCCACATATCAGTGCCCATCTGAGCTGCCTTTCAGTGTCACCCATCAGTGCCAGTCAGTGCCGCCTATCAGTGCCAGTCAGTGCTGCCTATCAGTGTGCATCAGTGCTGCCTATCAGTGTGCATCAGTGCCGCCTATCAGTGCCAGTCAGTGCTGCCTATCAGTGCCGCCTAACAGTGCCAGTCAGTGCCGCCTGTAAGTGCCAGTCAGTGCCGCCTGTAAGTGCCAGTCAGCGCCACCTATCAGTGCCATATATGAGTGCTGCCTTTCAGTGCCCATCAGAGATGCCTGTCAATGCCCATCAGTGCCACCTACCAGTGCCTCCTCATCAGTGCCCATCAGTGCCACCTATCAGTGTCCATCAGTGCAGCCTATCAGTGCTCATCAGTGCAGCCTCATTAGCGCACATCAGTGAAGGAGAAAAATCATTTATTTACAAAATTGTATAACAAAAACTAAGAAAAAAATTTTTTTTTTTCAAAATTCTCAGTGGTTTTTGGTTTGTTTAAGAAAAAAAATAAACCCAGAGGTGATTAAATACCACCAAAATAAAGCTCTGTCACAAAAAAATTATAAAAATTTCATATGGGTACAGTGTTGCATGACCACGCAATTGTCATTCAAAGTGCAACAGCGCTGAAAGCTGGAAATTGGCCTGGGCAGGAAGGGGGTATAAGTGCCCTGTAGGCTAGTGGTTAACAAAATAATGCAATAAAAATAAAGCAAATAAAATAAATAAAATATAAAAATAAAATATAAAAAAAATAAAAAAATATAAAAATTAAAAGTAAAAATAAAAAAGTCAAAACATAAAATTGTACAATTTCATAAATCGCTAATAAAACAGTTAATACCCACCTCAACATTCAATCCCCCTGGAATAAACGACTGAAGAGTATATATCCACTTGGTCTCCCTCTTAGAAAGATCTCTAACTCTATTTGCCCCTCTCCAATTTTTGAGAATCTAATCAACACCGCAAAATTCTATTAATTTAGGATTTTTATTATGACATTTGGCAAAATGGTCTGATACATTATGGTCTTTAAACCCTTTTTTATGTTTTTAATATGCTCTGCAATCCTCACCTTAAGAGCCCTTTTAGTTTGTACTGTGTAAATCAAATTACATGGGCACTTATTGGCATATACCACATACGTGTTGTCACATGTTATAAATTCTGAGATTTTATACTCTTGATCATGTACTTTAAAGTTGACTCGTTTCACCTTATTACCTATAGCTACTTTACATGCTTTACATTTTCTACAAGCTTTAAACCCTTTCTCATTAGGGAACATATACATAATTTTTGGAGCATCCAAGACTTTTTTTTAACAATCCTTTCCCCTACATTTGGGGCCCTTCTATAGATGAATCTTGGTCTGTTAGGTAATACTGGTCCAAGTACCTTATCCATCTGGAGTATATGCCAATGTTTTTGAAATGTTCCACTTCCTTATATTGTGAATGTTAAGTGGACAAAAAAGTCCACTGATGTTCTTTATTAACCTCTTTATTTATTGGCATTAAAGCAATTTTCTCTTGGGACACCAAGTATTTCTTTTATATTCTGATTCAAAAATTAATTTGAATGTCCCTTTTGTAAAAACCTAATTTTAATAATATCCGTCTGTAATAAGTAGTCATTATCCAATGTGCAGTTCCTTCTTAACCTCATGAACTGGCCTCTAGGTATGTTCTTGAGCCAGATCGGATGATGTCCACTATTAACAGATAAGTAACAATTTCTGTCTGTTGGCTTACAATACACCTTAGTGACAATCTCATTGCCACTTCTTTGTATAACAACAACCAAAAAATTAATAGAACTCATGCTCATCTGGTAATCTAATTTAATAGTTTTTTGATTATCGTTTAATTTCTCCATAGACTTCTCCAATGAAGCTTTTGATCCTTCCCAGATTAGGATGAGATCATCTATATATCTTTTATAATATATCAATTGTTGATGTAAAAAAACTGTATTATCCTTACACTCTGCCATAAAAATATTTGCGAGTGTGGGAGCATATTTAGCTCCCCTAGTTACTCCACTGCATTGTTGAAAAAACGTATTGTTGTACCAAAAGTAACTATGGGACAAACAAAAATCCAATGATTTGCCTAAAAAGATTTTGTTGTTATAAGGCAAATCATCCCTTTGACTTAAGGCCCAATTTAGAGCTAACATTGCATCATCATGACTAAAGATGGTATACAGAGAATTAACATCCACTGTTACCAGCCAAGTTTCTTTCCCTTCTACAAATTTAATCAGTTCTAGTTGTAATAAATCCTTAGTGTCCTTCAAGTAAGCCTTAGTTGTCAGAGCACTCTTTTGCAAACATTTTTTTTTTTTATATTGATGTTGTCAGGAACCCCAGAGCTGGCTGCAATCGCGCACGGTTTTGCACATGCGCGGTGTGCCTGGCCGCACTAGCGTGCGAGCATTGGGACCTGGGAAACCGCGACTGCAGCGGCGCTCGCGCATGCGCACTCGCGATCGCGGACGCACGCCTGGCACCAATCAGGGCGCAGGGTGCCCTACTAAAAACAGGTCAGGTCTGACTCTAGTTGCCATATGGTCTTACCTGTATCCTGAGTTCCTGTATTGTAGATTGCCTTGTTGCCGACCCTGATTTGCTGTCTGCCTCCTGTTCTGATCCCTGGCTTGCCTGACCATTCTCCTGCTTAACCCTGCACGTTCTGATCTCCTGTTACCGACCCGGCTTGTGACCTGTTTATCCTCCTGCCTACTGATTTGGTACCGTTCTGCCTCCACCGTTACCGACCTGGCCTGCCCGACCCTACTCTCGTTACCTCCTCACATCAGGCTCTCACCTGCTATACACCTCCAGTGGTGCTTCTACCACAGCTGGGTGAACCCAGGGGCCGCGACCTGGTCTCGGCCTGCTCCAAGTCCATCCCCACCATCAGGGGCCCTGGTGAACAAGCAGGTTGGGACTTAGATTCCGCGCCTTGGGGGATTCCGGTCTGTGGAACGCAAGAGGCTACCACCGGCAGGGACATAACAGATGTATTTTCTGGGTATTTGTGTAGGTGAAAAGACATTGCAATCAAAAGCTTCCTAGCTCTCTAAAAGCCCTCCTAACTTAGCATGGGTAAAACTGAAAGACAATTTCTAGCAAGTGGAGGTAGGGATTGTCCAACAAGGGGTGGGCTTAACTAACACAAAAACAGAGAGGAGTAGAGTGGAACATACCAAAATACACAAACAAATAAGAAAGAAGCTGTGGCAGCACATGGAGTTGTAAAAAAGTGCTGAGTTTCTCATTAATACATATCCATATCAGAAGAAAACTGAATAAGTGAAAACATAGGAGAACAAAAATAATAAATTAGTCCAAATGTATAAAGTCCACCAAATCAAATAAAACCAGTCCGAACACTCTATAATTCAAGTAAAGTGCCAAGTGTAATCAGTGCAAATCTTCAGCAGGTGTTCACAAGGGTTTTACCAGTGTATACCTTCACCAGAAATCGATGGCTCCTGCTTACCAGACTGTTTTGACCCCTATTACAGAGAAACCAAAAGAAGCTTTCAATATGGTCAGGCTCTCATTACAGAGTTGCCCAAACTCTCCACTTCAGGTTAGGTCCACAGATTACCCTCCCGTTCAGCAATTTGCAGCAACAAAATTAAAACATACACTTATGGCCAGTCCCGAGAGAGGGGCGAGCTGCTTGCATGTTCCAAGAGTGTGATGATGTCACAAAACAAAAGGCTCCTCCCTATGAGTTTCCTCATTATTTCTGGGACAAAACACGTAGGGCGGAGCCTTTGTTTGTGTTGTTTTAACTGTATTATATGTTTTGAATAAATGAGAAGCGCTTTTTATTGGGTTTACACTATGCTGTGTCTCTCCTAGTTTTCTTTTAATATAACACATTGCTGAACCAGATTGTAATCTGTGGACCTGACCTGGAGTGGAGAGTTTGGGTGGCTCTGTGATGAGAGCCTGGCCATATTGGAAGCTTTTTTTTCTGGTCTGTAATAGGGGGTCAAAAAATTCTGGTAAGCAAGAGTCATCTATTGAATGGTGGAGGTTTATACTGGTGAACCATTTGTTAAAACCTGCTGAAGATTTTCACTGGTTGCGCTTGGCACTTTACTGGAACTATACAGTGTTTGGCCTGGTTTTCATTTGATTTGGTGGACTTTATACATTTGGGCTAGTTTATTTTTTTTTTTTTCTTATGTTTGTACTTATTCAGTTTTTTCTGATATGTATATGTATTAATGTGAAGCGCAGCACTTTTTTACACTCAGTTTTGGCCAATTTATACTGTATCTATTGGTGTGCTTGCAGCTATATTTTATTACACTTTCAGCACTGTCACTGTTTTTAGCACATGGAGCTGGCCTTGAAATCCTGCTTCTAGAGTCCAGAATAGGTATCACATATCATCCACTTATAGCTCAAATGTTGGTATTATTATTATTATTATTACATCGAGTTTATATAGCGCCAAAGGGTTTGCTCAGCGCTGTACAATATAGGGGGGACAATACATGGCACAGTACAACAATAACAAACAACGTACGAGGGGTAAGAGGGCCCTACTCTTTCGAGCTTACAATCTAGGAGGGAGGGGGTAAAGGTACAGTAGGAAGTGGCTGAGGGGAATGAAGTGGTGGGAGGAATGAGGGAGAATGGCCGTTAGGTGAGGGTGGGGTAGGCTTCCCTGAAGAGATGGGTTTTGAGGGAGCGCCTGAATGTGAGGAGGGAAGGCAACAGTCTGATGGATTGGGGCAGTGAGTTCCAGAGGATGGGGCAGGACCTGGAGAAGTCTTGCAGTCGTGCATGGGAGGAGGAGACCAGGGAGCAGGATAGAAGGAGGTCCTGTGAGGAGCGAAGGGTACGGGTAGGGCGGTACTTGGGGATCAGGTTGGTGAGGTAGTCAGGGGCAGTATTGTGAATGGCTTTGTAGGTCAGGGTTAGAAGTTTAAATTTGATGCGTTGGGCAATCTGGAGCAAGTGGAGGGAGAGGCAGAGGGGGGTGGCAGAGGTGGAGCGGTTGGTGAGGTGGATGAGTCTAGCCGCTGAGGTCAGGATGGTCTGAAGCGGGGAGAGCTTGCACTGGGGTAGGCCGGTGAGGAGGGAGTTGCAGTAGTCAAGGCGTGAGATAACCAGGGAGTGTACGAGTAGTTTAGTGGTGTCTGGGGTAAGGAAGGTACGTATCTTGGCAATGTTGCGGAGGTGGAGCCTACATGTGTTTGTAAGTGATATAAAATGGTATTAGCTGTTTATCTTGGTCCAGCTTTAACAATGCACTTGGATGCATCATAATTGTTGCCTGCATACAC